GGCTCATTGACAGATTTTTGATCGGTAAAATGATCAGCCGATTTGCCAATCATTACCGCGAAAATCGGCCGCACATTTTCTACGTTTACCAATAAAAAAAAAAATGTGCCAAAACCCCAAAAAATGGCCGACCAATTAACCCACTAATGGTGCCAAAGTCGACCGATTTTTTTTTCGGCCAAAAAATCGGCCGATTTTCGACCCGTCTATGGCCTGCATTACAGTTAAAAAACTCCTCTAGACAACCACTAGTTCTGTTTTTTTTTTCCAGCCAAAAAATCGCTGATTAAAGCCTCTGTGTGTATGGACACATAGGATAACATGCTGGGGGGTTTACTGGCTGTAAAAAAAAAAGAAGCCAAAAACAGCCGCTGTAAAAGCGTCCAGTGTGCATGAGGACTCATGGGGCTGACAGGTGCCGAGGAGGAGCTGACACTTCCATGCTCCAGGTTGCAGATCGCCCCAGCCTGCTGTGTCAGTGAGTGTGACGTGGGGGAGGGGCTCATACCAGAGTCATGTGGCTGCTGGGAGTGCAGCGACTCCTCTTCCCTATAAGAAGATGCAGGGAGTGACTCTGCACTGCAGCCTTCGCGTCTTCTGCCGTAATAAGACTTGACGTCAGCCGGCATGCCGGGTAAGACGGAGCGCGGCGCCGCTGTGTGTGTGCCGCAACGTTGGCCGTGTAACCCTCTCTGGCTTCCATGCAGTAAGAATAGCCGTTCTCTCCTCTCTTTGTCTTTGCTGTGATTGTGTTCTCTCTCCGGAGGAAGTGTTTGTAGCAATGTGTTCCATCGTAGATCTGCGCACTGCCACGCGTGTCGGCAATCCTAAGTTAGAAGACGATTCCTGGCGCCGCCGGCAGGACTGTTGGCAGAGTGTAAAAAGAGACCCATGGAAGAACCGATATGATCGGTTGTCCGCGGGGGCCGGAGGGTGGGCATCATTTACCAGGGGTTTTTTTTTTGTATAAACCTCTTCCCCCTTCAGCGCTGTCTCCGGGTCTGGCAGATTGGCACGTGCGGCTGTCTGTGCGTTGCGTTGAGGCGTCATTCACTTTAAAGGCTCGTTCACGTCAGATGCGTTCAGCTGCGTCGATCCACATCAACACAGACTTAGTGCCGGTCATACCGGAGCGATCTCAGCTGGGAATTGCAAATTGAAATCGCACCTGAGATCGCATCTCATAATTGGGAATGTCGGTGTCTTAACACGTGCGATTTGCTGCCGCGCGATTCCTAAAGTAGTTCTTGCATGAATTCTGCAGTTTTGGTGCGATTTCACATACATAGAAAATAATGGAAATCACACTGTGAATTGCAAGAAAATGTTGAACCCCCCCCACAAAAAAAAAAAAACAAACAAAAAAAAAATAGACAAACACACAAAACCAGACACACACAGAGGCTGTTCTACCTAGCGATAAATGGTTTCTTTAAGTGCCCGGTCATACCGCTGCGATTTCAGCTGGGATTTGCGAATTGAAATCACACCTGAGATCGCATCTCATAATTGTGAATGTCGGTGTCCTAACACGTGCGATTTGCTGCAGCGCGATTCCTAAAGTAGTTCCTGCATTACTTTTTCTGCAGCTTGGTTGCGATTTCACATACATAGAATATAATGGAAATCGCACTGTGAATTGCAAGAACCCCCCCACCCCACAAAAAAAAAAAATAAACACAAAAAAAAACACACACACACTCAGAGGCTGTTCTACCTAGAGATAAATGGTTTAAGTGCCCGGTCACAACAGTGTCATTTAAGGTGCACGTTGCGAATTGTATGGCTCCAATCGCACCGCACAGAAATCGCATGTGATTTGCACAGGAATGCGGTGCGATTCCGGTGCGACTCACATGCGATATACCACACCGCATATATGTGAACCTGGGCTTAAACTGAATGGGTTGTTTTACAGGGTGAAGGTTCACATATACTGTAGCTTCCCTAGCGGTCTGATTATGTTTCTGCTCTCAAAGCGGTACATTTTTTTGCATGGAAATATGTCATTATTTTATTGTAGGCCTGTAATTCTTAGGAATAACTCACTGAAATCTGTCCGAACAAGAGTCTAGTAAACATCCCGGGGAGGATAACATTTTAAACACGAAATCATAAATTATAATTTAATAAATAATCATAAAAAATAATAATATAATAATAAATTTTATTCAATAATGTAATCAAACCAAAAACACTGAAATGTGAAATATAGCGCCAAGTTTGCACATCACTGAGCAAAGTCGCAGAATCGTTTTCAGTGTCTGATGAGGAATTTCCCCCACGAATCATTATCACTCAATTCTGCAAGTGGTTCTGATTTACTATCGCTGTTCTCTAGCCGGTCTAAAACCGCTTTTGACCTAAAGGGACGCTTTTTGGACGCCATGGACGTTTCTCAGTTTCCAGGCATAAAGAACAGTAAAAATGCAGGCAGGGCGCAGACAAAGCACTCGGGACAAAATGTATGTGAAATGGTTTGATACAGGAATGTTATACTATGTGATTTTAGTGTATTTAGTGAATGTCACTTTTTCACATTTTTAAATTTCCCGCAAATTCCGTCCCCCGTACATCCCGACGTCGCAGGGAACGGAAACCCGGAAGACGGATGCCGGCATCGGCCGGAGATGGCTGGGGACACTGCAGGGGGGACATCGCGGGAGTGCAGGACAAGGTAAGTGAAGAAGAGATCCCAGAGCAACGCTGCAGTGTATTCCCGAGTGTAGCTCGGGGGGGGGTTACCGCTTGGGGTGCTGAAACTTTACCCCGAGCTACACTCGGGAATACCGCCAGGGGGGTTAAATCTGAAATTTAGTTATTGCAATTATTACATAGTTGCACTGGTCTAGATTGGACCAAAGTAAGTATGTAACTGTGGGATCGCTCTAGAATGGTCTTTCTCAACCTTTTCACCCCATAGGAACCCTGAAATAATGGTCAGTCCATCAAGGGTCATTGGGAAAATGCCTCTTCCATCGGTGGTGGTAAATGAGAAGAGTGTCCTATTTACAGTGGTGGCCAGAATGACACCCTTTCAGTAATACTGCTGGCTCTGGCAAGTGGTGTTGGACCTGGAACTATGCAGGCACCACACAGTGCCTTGAAAAAATCTTTATACCCCTTGAAATTTTCCCCATGTTGTCATGTTACAGCCAAAAACCTAAATGTATTTTATTGGGATTTGATGTGATAAACCAACACAAAGTGGCACTCCCAGCTTTGCACATCTAGAGAGGGACATTTCTGTCCATTCTTCTTTGCAGAATCGCTCAAGCTCTGTCAGATTGGATGGAGAGCGTCTGGGAACAGTCATTTTCAACACTTGCCACAGATTCTCCATTGGATTTTGGTCTGGACTGTGACTGGGCCATTCTAACACATGAAGATGCTTTGATCTAAACCATTCCATTGTAGCTCTGGCTGCTGGGATGTTTTGGGTCGTTGTCCTGCTGGAAGATGAACCTCCGCCCCGGTCTCAAGGCTTTTTCAGACTCTAACAGGTTTTCTTCTAAGATTGCCCTGTATTTGGCTCCATCCATCTTCCCATCAACTCTAAACAGCTTCCCTGTCCCTGCTGAAGAAAAACACCCCGACAACATGATGCTGCCACCACCATGTTTCATGGTGGAGATGGTGTGTTCAGGGTGATGTGCAGTGTTAGTTTTTCTACCACACACAGCATTTTGCTTTTAGGCCAAAAAGTTCCATGACCAGAGCCCCTTCTTCCACATGTTTGCTGTGTCCCCCACATGGCTTGTCGTAAACTGTAAACGGGACTTCTTATGGCTTTCTTCCAACAATGGCTTTCTTCTTGCCACTCTTCCATAAAGGCCAGATTTGTGGAGTGACGACTAATAGTTGTCCTGTGGACAGATTCTCCTCCCTGAGCTGTGGATCTCTGCAGCTGCTCCAGAGTTCCCATGAGCCTCTTGGCTGCTTCTCTGATGAATGCTCTCCTTGCCCGGCATGTCAGTTTAGGTGGACGGCCATGTCTTGGTAGGTTTGCAGTTGTGCCATACTCTTGCCGTTTTTGGATGATGGATTGAACAGTGCTCTGTGAGATATTCAAAGCTTGGGATATTTTTTTTATAACCTAACCCTGCTTTAAACTTCACCAGAACTTTATCCCTGACCTGTCTGATGTGTTCCTTGGCCTTCATGATGCTGTTTGTTCACTAACAAACCTCTGAGGGCTTCACAGAACAGCTGTATTTATACTGAGATTAAATTACACACAAGTGGACTCTATCTACTAATTAGGTAACTTCTGAAGGCAATTAGTTCCACTATATTTTACTTAGGGTATCAGAGTAGAGGGGGCTGAATACAAATGCATGCCACACTTTTTGAAAGCCATTTATCATTTTCCTTCCACTTCACAATTATGTGCCACTTTCTGTTGGTCTATTACTTAAAATCCCAATAAAATACCTTTTTGGTTGTAACATGACAAAACGTGCAAAGTTTCAAGGGGATGAATACTTTTTCAAGGCACTGTAGGTCAAAGAACCCCTAGCCACCCCTGGAGGAACCCTAGTTGAGAATGGCTGTTCTAGAAGTTTGCAATTACTACAGCAGACAACGCTACTACAGCTATCTTAACTTGCTTCCAGGTCCTTTTCCAAGTAGATGCACCTATGCGTGTTCTGAATGTGCCTGTGCCGAGGGGGTAACCTGCTATATTCACAATGCAGGAGAGCACTTGAAACTAGTGGAGATCATTGGAGTTGGGGTGTCTACTACAGTGATTTCCAGCTTCCCCAGAGGTATGGGATATGGCTAGTTACATCAGTCCAAGCTGGTCCAATGTAACTGTAAAAATTGCCATACCTAAACTTCAACTTTAATTATTCCTGTGTTTATCGGAAACTGGAGAAAAAAGGTTTTGGCTGGAGTCTGGCTCTGTCATTGGTCCAATGATAACTTGTCAGAAATGTAATTTCTCTTTTTTTATGTCTTTAGGGGCAGAAACATTTAAATAACAAGAAAATAATCAAATGGACGAAACTCAGGAGCCGCTATTCACCTTTGGGGTCATCGCTGACATCCAGTATGCAGACAAGGACGATGGGTATAATTACGTAAAGACGAGGATGAGGTATTACCGGAGCAGTTTGTCTTTACTACGAGATGCGACCCAAGAATGGGCCTCCGAAAGTGCCCGGCCGGCCTTCATCATCCAGCTTGGTGACATCATTGATGGCTTTAATGTTCCCCTGAAGACATCAGAGTCATCTCTGACAAAAGTTCTGGACGAGTTTGAAAAGCTGAAGATCCCCATCCACCATATTTGGGGCAACCATGAATTCTACAACTTCAACAGGAAGCAGCTGATGGAGTCGAAACTGAATAGCACGCCACTGGGGGAAACGCAGGTTATATCTCCAGAGAGCCACGATGACCTGGAGTCATTCTACGCTTATCATTTCAGTCCTTTCCCCAAATTTCGGATACTCTTGATTGACTCTTACGACTTCAGCGTCATCGGAAGAGATCCGTCAAGCCAAAAGTATGTAAAGTCCTTAAAAGTTCTGAAGCAGAAGAATAAAAATGCAGATTTGAACAGTCCTACAGGTATACAAAGGACTTCTCTAAAACAATGTAACCTGAAATATATCATTTTAAATATGCAACGATAAGTCTAGTCAGCTCCGGGGAAGAAGTCAGATTAACATTTTATTATATTAACACTTTCATTCCTACATTTATCAGTCCTATACTCTCTAGAACAATGGTTCATAATGTGTCTCACTGATGGGCTGCAGCCTCTATCCTCTTGGGCTATAGGTATCTCCAGATCCCCCAAACTTCCACAATGCCTCTCAGCTCCCATAGTGCCTTGCAACTTCCCATAGTTGTCCAAAGTGTCCCTCAACCTCACACACAGTGAGAGACACCTCACAGTGACCCCAGAGCCCCTAAGAGCCCTTAGTTCCCACAATGCCCATCAACATCCCATAGTGCTCCCTCAGCCCCCCGGCAGTGTCCCTAGCTTGCTGCAGAACCTTCACTTCTCATAGAGCCTCATACCGTGTCCCACATTGTCCCTGCAAAACCCCTAGCCTCCTGGAGATATCCCAGGCTCCCCAGAGGACCTATTCGCCTACAAGGCCACCTAGTCAGCTTCAAAGTCCCCTAACACCCCTCAGAACCTTCAAACCTACCTAAATCAAGGTAGGCTAGGATCATCAACAGGCAAGTATGGTGGTTCATTGATACAGAAAGCAGAGTCAGAAAAGTAAGCCAAGGTTAGTAACCAGAAAACAGAGATTTGAATGTAGGTAGGGCACGATAATTCAAATTCAGGTTGGGAATGGAAGCCAGGTAAGTACAGCAGATCACCCAAATCCATGGGTAAGGTCATAAGGACATGGCTAAAGATGAGGATCGGGCTGAGAATTAAATGACCAGTTCAGTTACATCAGGGGTTTCCAAACCTTCTAAACAAAGGGCCAAGTTTACTATCCTTCAGAATTTATGGGAGCTGGATTGTGGCCAGTGGAAAGTAGAAAATCTCCTGACATCAGTGAGAGTAAACAATGCACCATTGTTGGTGTCAGTGGAAGGAATAGTGTCCCATCATGGTGTAGGTGGGAAAGTGGGATGACTAGTGTCAGATTGTTGATGTCAGTGGGAGGAATAGTGCCCCATTGTTGGTTTCAGTGGGAGGAATAGTGCCCCACTGTTGATGTCAGTGGCAGGAATAGTGCCCCAATGCTGGTGTCAGTGGGAGGAATAGTACCCCATCATTGGTGTCAATGTAAAGAATAGTGCCCATCATTGGTGTTGGTGGCAGGAATAGTGTCCCATCATTGGTGTCGGTGACAGGAGTAGTGCCCCATCATTGGTGTCAGTGGCAGGAGTAGTGCCCCATCATTGGTGTCAGTGGCAAGAGTAGTGCCCCATCATTGGTGTCAGTGGGAGGAATAGTGCCCCATTGTTGGTATCAGTGGGAGGAAAAGTGCCCCATCATTGGTGTCGGTGACAGGAATAGTGCGCTATCATTCTTGTCAGTAGCAGAAATAGTATTCAGTCATTGGTATCAGTAGGAGGAATAGTGCCCCATCATTGGTATCAGTAGGAGGAATAGTGCCCCATCATTGGTATCAGTAGGAGGAATAGTGCCCCATTGTTGGTATCAGTGGGAATAATATTACCCCATCATTGGTGTCCGTGGAAAGAATCGTGACTCATTCTTGATGTCAGTAGAGAAGGAATAATGCCTCATTCTTGATGTCAGTAGAAGGAATAATGCCTCATTCTTGATGTCAGTGGAAGGAATAATGCCTCATTCTTGGTGTCAGTGGGAGGAAAATGCCTCATTCTTGATGTCAGTGGAAGGAATAATGCCTCATTCTTGGTGTCAGTGGGAGGAATAATGCCTCATTCTTGATGTCAGTGGAAGGAATAATGCCTCATTCTTGGTGTCAGTTGGAGGAATAGTGCCTCATTCTTGGTGTCAGTTGGAGGAATAGTGCCCCATGGGCTGGATAAAGGCAAGCTAAGGGTGCATTCTGCCCCTGGGACACAGTTTGGAGACCCCTGAGTAACACAAAAGAATGTTGTGTCCTTGCTGGGATCTTATGGTTTCTGTCCTCTGTTGAAGGATTGGTTTAAAGGACTTCTGATCAGTGAATTTCTCAGGAAGAACAGAGAAGGTGCCAGAGTCTCCTAATGAAATTTTGGTTCTTGTTTCAGTACAAAACTGTGGTCCCCAATTCTTTTTTTTTTGGTATGAAAAAGTAAAGCACATCTCCAGTGGGCTCCTTGGAGTAGACGTATGCATTTTAATATCTTGCTTTTTGTCAATCAGATCTTGATGAACCCCAGTTTGTGCAGTTTAATGGAGGAATCAGCAACGCTCAGTTAAACTGGATTGGTGGCATTCTCCAGTCTTCAGACAAAAATGGAGAAAAAGTGATAGTGGCAGGTGAGAATTTAATATATTGAAACCAGTGAGAATTATCAGGGGATGATAATCTTCCCAACCACATCGGAACCTTTAGGATGGCTCCACATGTATGTGTTACCACAATTCCCATTAACACATACAGTAGCATTCTGGTGGTGCCATCCATCCCAACACACAGTACAGTGAGTGTACATGGATCCACACATACAACACAACACACGTACTGTGGTGCAATGCTTCCTTGAAGCCTAACGCCAAGAAACTTGTAAATTCTCCCTTACAGTGGGGCCATGCCCACTCTGTAGGGGGTTAAGGCCTCATTTAGGTCTAGGAGGCATGGAAAAGTAGATTTGGTTACTCAATCCTCCATACTGCTAGACTGGCCCTTGCAGCATGTTCCACCCCATACTATAGCGGTCCTGCATCAAGACCAATGCAGGGTTCACAGAATGATCATTCTGAGGAACAGTCCACCACTAGAGCATGTGGGACCAATGTCTGAAAGGGGAGTGAAGGATTGGGTAAGTAAAAGGGAGTTTCCTAGACAGGGGCCTCCAAACTTTCTAAACAGAGGGTCAGTTTATTGTGCTTCAGACTTTTAGGGGGGCCATTGCCAGTGGAAGTAGAAAATGTCTAAACAATATCCTTTCTTTGGTATTAAGGGAATTATTAGTGCCCTATCGTTGGTGTCAGGGAGGAATAGCACCCCGTCGTTGGTGGCAATGGGAGGAATAGCACCCCATTGTTGGTATCCGTGGGAGGAATAGCGCCCTATTGTTGGTATCCGTGGGAGGAATAGCGCCCTATTGTTGGTGTCAGTGGAAAGAATAGCGCCCCAATCGTTGGCATCAGTAAGAGTAATAGTGCTCCATCTTTGGTGTCAGTGGGAGGAATAGTGCCCCATTGTTGGCATCAGTAAGAGGAATAGCGCTCCATCTTGTGTGTCAGTGGGAGGAATAGCGCCTCATCACTGATGTCAATGGGAGAAATGGCACCCTATCGGTGTCATTGGGTGGAATAGCGCCCCATCTTTGGTGTCACTTGGAGGAATAGTGCCCAATCAGCGTCATAAGAGAAATAATGTTCCATCGTTGGCATCAGTGGGAGGAATAGTGCCCCATCGTTGGTATCAGTGGCAGGAATAGTGCCCAATCATTGGTATTAGGAGAAATAGTGCCCCATCATTGGTCTCAGTGGGAGGAATAGTGCCCCATCATTGTTGTCAGTGGAAGGAATAGTGCCCCATCCCCATCATTGGTCTCAGTGGGAGGAATAGTGCCCCATCATTGTTGTCAGTGGAAGGAATAGTGCCCCATCATTGGTATCAGTGGGAGGAATAGTGCCTCATCATTGGTATCAGTGGGAGGAATAGCGCCCCATCATTGGTATTAGGAGGAATAGTGCCCCATCATTGGTATCAGTGGGAGGAATAGAGCCCCATCATTGGTGTCAGTGGGAGGAATAGTGCCCCACCATTGGTGTCAGTGGGAGGAATAGTGCCCCATCATTGGTGTCAGTGGGAGGAATAGTGCCCCATCATTGGTGTCAGTGGGAGGAATAGTGCCCCATCATTGGTGACAGTGGGAGGAATAGTGTCCCATCATTGGTTTCAGTGGGAGGAATAGTGCCCCATCATTGGTCTCAATGGGAGGAATAGTGCCCAATCATTGACATAAAAAAAGAAATAATGCTCCATTGTTGGTATCAGTGGGAGGAATAGTGCCCCACCGTTGGTGTCAGTGGGAGGAATAGTGCACCATTGTTAATGTCAGTGTAGAAATGGTTGCGCCATTGCTGGTGTCAATGGGGGGCATAGTGCCCCAGGGGCTGGAAAAAGGCAAGTAAAGGGCCACACTTTGGAGACCATCAGTTAAACGCTACTGCACTGGATCATTTTTGAAATTTGGAGCTGGGCCTTAAAGCAAAGCATGTTACCACACAAGCAATAACACATAACAGTGCAATGAATACGTTAAAAAGGGCCCTAAAATTTAGAGAACCATGGGCTGGTTGCAGAAAAACAAAAAGAAACCTTGTGTTACCTTCACATATCTTTAAACTTGTTCTCCTGCCTCTCGATTCCAAGATATGGGGGTGTTCCAACATTCAAATACCTCCCCTTCTTGGGTGTATTTATAGCTGGTCTTTCCTGCAATTCTAAATAATACAGTGAGGGTGATGAACATAGAGATTGAGCAATGTGAAGGTGCGGGAGTTGAGGGGTTGGTTGTATTGCTCTTCACTTTGGCAGGAAGTGCCTGTAGGCAGGTTGTAGGTAGGTGCAGTCCATATTCCCCATTGTAAATGGCACTAAGCTGAAGTGTCAATACAGAAGAGGAAGGAAGTTGTGGGTTCCTGTATGATTTCCCAAGGTCACCTGGGAGCAGCTGTCTGATTGGACTAGTAAATAATTTAATAATGTTAAAACAGAATTTAGGCCACTCACATTTTGAGAGTAAGATACAGGCTCATATAATGGGTGGGTGATTGGATCGTTCAGATGTCCAGGTCCATGCTAGGTGTCAAACGGCGTGGAACAGAGAAGCTGGCGGGCACCTCTCTCCCAAGAAGCCGGAGATGGAACACACTGTGGAGCGCAGACGTTCAGCGTCGTGACGTCACCCATGGAATAGCAACGCGTTTCTGAGCATGCATGAGGTCCGAAGCTAGGGTACGAGCATATTGAACGGGTTTCTTATTGTTCAATATGTTCATACTCTAGCTTGAAAAAGGAGAAAGGAAAAAAGGAAAAGATATACAAGAGAAAAATCTCTATATATCTGATTGGACGCTGGGCCCTTCATTACCTCAGCGGCCATTTCGGGTGAGGGCAGAGCTTATTTGGGTCCATGGCCACCTGATTTGGCATGCGTTGTGTGCATGGCTAGTGTAGCGACAGGTTCCCTGCCTGTTAGGGAAAGCACATAATAGCAAGGGAAAGGTTCCAGAGGAGTAAGAAAAGTGTAGGGACCACGTTATCCTCTGAAGAAGCCTCCCAGGTGGGTTCGATCGGCCAGACCACAATCTGCTTGTTGCAGAAGCTGTCAGCATCGATTCAACCTGCAGAATTGCCATTGTGCATTTTGTAAGTGGCTCTGGTTGGATGTGCTTACCCATCAGGGCTGGTTGTACCTTGTTGGAACGTATAGAATATACAGCTAACCTTCCCTTTGCTCACACTGTGCATGCAGTCTTCCCACTTATAGGTGGCCTTTTGCCATCATTGTATGGGAAGAGGGGGTCTTTGGAATTGGTCCATGGGTGTCAAGGTCCTACCTTTTCCCAGAGGTTGAGCATGGTGGAAATCTTTTATGCCTTCAGGTCTCTGAGGTCCATCCCCCAGAGGGGTGTGGCTGATGACATATAAGCCTGTGGTCCGCACATGCTCTTTGCACTTGTGTCTTTGTGTTGCTATAACGCTGTTCTGACTCTCGTGACTCTCCTGGAATCTGACTCGGCTTGTGACTCGACTATTCTTTGTGTTCTCCTTTGATCTGATCCTCTGTTGCTGAACCCGGCTCGTGACCTGTGATTCTTGTCTGCTGTCCTGTACCGGTTTTGTACCGTTGTTGTCGACCCGGCCTGCCTGACTACTCTATTGTCTTTTCCACCAGCTATACGCCATTGGCGGCGGCCATTACCGCAACTGAGGTGTCTCGGGGGCCGCGACCTGGTTCCTGGCTGCGTCAAGTCCATCCCCACCATCAGGGGCCCTGGTGAAGGGCAGCCTGGGACTTAGATTATGCGCTCTGAGGGACTTCGGTCTGTGGGTGGTGGTTGTCGTCAGCCAATGCGTTACATTGTTATTAGGCCTGCCTGTCCATTCCCCAGCTCCTGCCTTGACAATGGGGGATTCCATTTGATGCCTCGAGAAGAGACGTTGTCTGATTGGACACAGAATTCTTGGGATATTTGGTGGTGAGGGAACATTTTAAATAAGGGAACCCACATCACTTTGGGCGCACTTCTGGGCTTGTGGTTGGACACAGACAAGAACCAGCATGCAAGGAATGATATTTAGAGTAGGGAGAGGTTCCAGGCATGCAGGGATAGCTCAGGGAAGGCTCCCCCAACACTTCATTCCCATCAGTCTGGTCTCATCGTCCTCTGGTAACACACCTTGTCACATACTGGTTATTTGCTGAACTGTTGTATCAAGTGCCAAGGACTTGCCTAGCAGTGGTACAAGCAAGCCTGCTAAAGGTCAATACAGAATATATAAGTGCACTATATACTGTGTGTGATTCTTCCCAAAAGAATACCTTCACTTAGACCTCACCTACATGTCAATATTTAATATTAGTGAGCCCCAGGATTTGTCTGCATGTTTTTCTGCAGCCAGGGCAGGCCTCCTAGTATGGTGAGAACATTTGTGGTCTCCTTGCCCATTGGGTTGGTCCAGATCAAACAGAAATGTTTCCCATGGACCAATTTATTCTCCACTTGGACCTCACGGTAGCAATGATCCATCAGTGAAGCCAATATGTAATCATTATTTTTCCACCAAACGTGGTCAGGTTTAGTCACATTCCCAAATGTCGATTGTAGAGTCCTCTATACCAGATCTGATTTCTCTGCCAGTCCTTCTCTATTGAACAGTTGGGAAATATTAGAGAACACTGAGGGTAGGGTACAACTACAAGAACCTAAAGGGGCACATGGCCATGTTATAATTCTCATGATCCCATTTATGGTGCCTTTCCTCTGGCTACTTTTTTTTTTTGTCCTCTGAATCTCTTGTAACCCTTGTATCTTTTTGCAGGACACCTCCCGATCTACCCTCCCTCTACAGACCCCATCTGTCTCACATGGAACTACCTCGATGTCCTGTCAATGTTACAGGTCCATCCCTCTGTGGTGGCCTATTTTGCTGGACATGACCACGATGGAGGTTACTGTCAAGACCCACATGGAATTCACCACATAACCTTCAATGGAATTATAGAAACTCCGCCGGACAGCCAGGCCTTCGCCACCATGGAGATCTATGAGGACAGGATGGAGCTGAGGGGCAGAGGCCTCGTCCCCAACAGAACTTTGATTTACAGGAACAGCTAGTATACCAGCCACATGGAAAACATAGATTACCTTAACAAGCTGTTGACAATCTGTTCTCAGTCTCCTTTATAAAGAGATAATTCCTAAATGATGCATAATATAGCTGAGACAACAAAATAACATGATTTTGTCTAAAACAAGCATGGCCAAAGGGTGATAATGCAATGAGAAAATCCAGAACATATAATTTAGGGACTGTAGACTGTAGCTAGACCTGTACACCCAGATTCCTGCTCTGGTCTGTTGTGATAAAGAATGCCTCTGGTCACATGCTGAGTGGAATTTTCATGCCCCGCACTGAAGAGCCCATGTAGAGCAGGAACAGGCTGTTTGAATGTGTCCACCTTATGCCATTAGTAACCAACAGACACATCACTGATCCAAAGAGCTGGCTTAGACCTGCTAGTGCTCTCCCTGGAATTTCTTTCTGTTAGATGATACGTATATTACTTTTGCCACGTCTCAGACTCATACTTTATGTATACCCAGGGCTTTTTTTTCTCAGAGAATAGGTGCCGGTACTCCCCTGTTCCCAGTCACCGCTTGTCTGCACCACCTACCCACCTCTGAGCACTGTCCCTTGGTTCCACCTCATACCCACCTCCCAGTTTTGCCCCTTAGTATTGTTTTGTGGTGCTAAGTAATTTGTATGGAATTTGGTAACAAGAAAAGCATTAAAACAGATCCCTGCAGCCAGCAACAATAGATCCACTCAGCAACAGTAGACCCCGAAACCCCCCCCCCCCCCCCACAATAACAATAGATCCACCCAGCAAGAATAGACCTCCCCAGCAAGAATAGACCCCACTTGCAAAAATTGATCCCCCCAGTGATAGATCCTCCAGCAGCCAGCAACAATAGTATATAATTTGTTAATGGTAACAAGAAAAGCATTAAAACAGATCCCCTTCAGCCAGCAATAATAGATCCACTCAGCAAAAGTAGACCCCAAACCCCCCCCCCCCAATAACAATAGATCCGCCCCAGAAACAATAGACCCCACTTGCAAAAATTGATCCCCCCAGTGATAGATCCCACGGCAGCCAGCAACAATAGTATATAATTTGTTAATGGTAAGAAGAGAAGCAGTAAAATAGACCCCAAGCAGCCCGCAACAATAGATCCACTCAGCAACAGTAGACCCCGAAACAACCCTCCATAACAATAGATCCACCCCAGCAACAATAGACCCCACTTGCAAAAAATTATCTCCCCAGTGATAGATCCCCCAGCAGCTGGAAACAATAGTATATAATTTGTTAATGGTATCAAGAAAAGCATTAAAACATATCCCCTTCAGCCAGCAACAATAGATCCACTCAGCAACAGTAGACCCCAAAACACCCCCCATACAATAGATCCACCCCAGCAACAATAGACCACACTTGCAAAAATTGATCCCCCCAGTGATAGATCCCCTGGCAGCCAGCAACAATAGTATATAATTTGTTAATGGTAAGAAGAGAAGCAGTAAAATAGACTCCCTGCAGCCAGCAACAATAGATCCACTCAGCAACAGTAGACCCCGAAACAACCCCCCATAACAATAGATCCACCCCACCAGCAATAGACCTCCCCAGCAACAATATACCCCGCTTGCAAAAATTGATCCCCCCAGTGATAGATCCCCCAGCAGCCAGCAACAATGGTATATAATTTGTTAATGGTAACAAGAAAAACATTAAAACAGATCCCCTTCAGCCAGCAACAATAGATCCACTCAGCAAAAGTAAACCCCAAAACACCCCCCCATAGCAATAGATCCACCACAGCAACAATAGACCTCCCCAGCAACAATAGACCACCCCTTCCAAAAATTGATCCCCCCAGTGATAGATCCCCCAGCAGCCAGCAACAATAGTATATAAGTTGTTAATGGTAACAAGAGAAGCAGTAACATAGACCCCCTGCAGCCAGCAACAAAAGATCCCCTCAGCATCAACAGACCTCCCTTGCAACAAAATACTCCCCATAACAATAGATCCACTCCAACAACAATAAAACCCGCATGCAACAACAGATCTCCCAGCATTAACAGACCCCTCAGCAGCAAGCAACAATAGACCCCTACTACAACAGTAGATCCCTCCCAGCAACATGAAACCCCCAACCAAAAACAGACCTCTCAAGCAACAATAGTTCTCCCCTGAAACAACCCCCCAGTGACAATAGATCCCCCATCAGCAACAATAGACCTTCCAGCACACCTCACCACCCCTCACCACATTCAGTGCTGCAGGTGCCAGAACTGTGTTCCCTTGCGTTTGCTGAAAAAAAAAAAAGTCCTGTGTATAACAGTTTAATTACTGAATTAAGCGCACCATAAAGTCAGGATAATACCCACATGGAAGAAAAATATATTTGAAATATTACAATTTTGGCTGTATTCAATATATTTCCAAATATGGAAAATATTTTAAAAAATACATTTTTAAATATATCGTACGTCTTTAAAAATACATTTAATCAACATTTTGGAATGCATTTACAAATATATGTAAAAACATATGTTAAAATGACTTTTATATGTTACAAAAATATGAAGAATATATTTAAAAAAATAGACTTTTAAAAATATTTTTCATATATTTTGTAATATATAAAAACGCATTTCAACATACAGTACAGTGTGTGTGTATGTATGTATGTATGTATATATATATATATATATATATGTATGTATATATATATATATATATATATATATATATATATATATATATATATATATGTATGTATGTGTATATATATATATATATATATGTATGTATATATATATATATTTAAATATATTGAATATGGCCAAAATTGTAGTATTTGGGAAGAATATTTTTAAAATATATTTAAAATATATTTTTCTTCCATGTGGGTAACACCAACATCGTTACGAAATCTACATTTCTGCACCCGGGGGTTGGAAATGATTATTAAAATTATATCCAATGGAGCAATTCTGATCTTAATCCCAGATTAATATCTGTTTTACTGAATATTATATTAAACATGGTTTTTGTTAAATAATTCTGTGGATGTATGTGTGTGCGTTCAAAATGTTTTGAGAAAGTGTAACGTGAACCCGATGTCTATGGTTTATGGACAGTTGCTATTGGGCACATTACATTAATACTGCATTTTCTCTATAGTCTTTAATGTAAAGTTTTCGTTTCCTTGAGTTCTTTTTTTTTTGTTTTGTAAACAAACGGTATCTTGTGGGGCTACATGCTGGCTCTGGAAATTCCCGACTCCAGGCTCTTGGTGGGCTCTCTCTCCCAACTTTTCTTGGGGGCTCTCTCAGATGTTGCTGACTTCATGGCTTCTTCTTGACCTCTATGTTCTTCTCAGGAAGGAAGCTCCCTAGCTCTGAGCCCTCCCCATGCATTTCCCTGACTTACAGCAGGGGCAAGACTCAGAAAGCCCAGGTAAGAGTCTAGACACAGTTAACCCAGGGGTGTATTTACCACAAGGCAAACAAGGCACTTGCCTAGGGCGGCATTTTTCAGGGGGCAGCACCTCCCCCTAGAAGAAGGGATGAAAGAAGGGGCACGTGTTCCATGGGGACCAGGTGGGATCCGAGAGAGGCTGCGGGCTGCTTGATGGTGTATGTAGAGCCTGACTCTCATTCCCAGGGATGTCCGGAGATGAAGAGGAGTGTAGGGGTAGTGGAAGGCTCTCCCAGGTGGGGGGCAGGCATGTTGTTGGTCAATGTCAGGCTCTCTCCATGGGAGGGGGAAGAGTGGAGTTGGTGTTGGTCAATGTCTGTGGGGGCAGACGATTTTTGTGTTGCCTATGACAGCACAAAATCTAAATACACCAATGAGTTAACTCCTTCCTATCCTTGGCAGCCTGAACTAACTACATTACTGCAATTAATACAACAGTAAAAATACATACAATGACATCCCACAAGCACATGCATACAAGCAAATAAGTAAAACAGTAGAAAAATAGAGTCTAGACACAGTTAACCCAGGGGGTGTATTTACCACAAGACCCCTTTGAAAACGAGCGGTGCGCTCAAAACATGTTAGGGGATCCACCCTACTGACGCCTATACCACCAGGGAACCACTAACCACCAGGGAATTCTTTTACTGGATCTGGGTGGCCATTTTTAACCCTGGGATCAATTGGATATATATATATATATATATATATATATATATAGTGGGGATCGAAAATTTGGGCACCCCAGCTAAAAATGTGTATTAATGTACATAAAGAAGCCAAGGAAAGATGGAAAAATCTCCAAAAAGGCATCAAATTACAGATTAGACATTCTTATAATATGTCAACAAAAGTTAGATTTTATTTCCATCATTTACACTTTCAAAATAACAGAAAACAAAAAAATGGCGTCTGCAAAAGTTTGGGCACCCTGCAGAATTTATAGCATGCACTGCCCCCTTTGCCAAGCTGAGACCTGCCAGTGTCATGGATTGTTCTCAATCATCGTCTGGGAAGACCAGGTGATGTCAATCTCAAAGGTTTTAAATGCCCAGACTCATCTGACCTTGCCCCAACAATCAGCACCATGGGTTCTTCTAAGCAGTTGTCTAGAAAACTGAAAATAGCTGACGCTCACAAAGCTGGAGAACGCTATAAGAAGATAGAAAAGCGTTTTCAGATGTCAATATCCTCTGTTCGGAATGTAATTAAGAAATGGCAGTCATCAGGAACAGTGGAAGTTAAAGCAAGATCTGGAAGACCAAGAAAAATATCAGACAGAACAGCTCGCAGGATTGTGAGAAAAACAATTCAAAACCCACGTTTGACTGCACGATCCCTCCAGAAAGATCTGGCAGACACTGGAGTTGTGGTCACTATTCCACTATAAGAGATACTTGTACAAATATGGTCTTCATGGAAGAGTCATCAGAAGAAAACCTCTTCTACGTCCTCACCAGAAAAATCATCGTTTGAACTTTGCAAATGAACATATAGACAAGCCTGATGCATTTTGGAAACAAGTTCTGTGGACCAATGAGGTTAAAATTGAACTTT